GTAAGTACGCATGCATTGTGCATGCAGGGGCAGGGGTCATGATTTAGCTAGCCATGTTTCTTATTGAGTGCGCTTCACCTTTAGCAGCAGCACTTGAAGCATCTCCTGTTTGGAAGGATGCTCTTGTCCTGACCCGGTTGCATGCGCACTGCACAGGTGAGGGTGAAGGAATTCGCGCACTATCACTCGCTGCCTTGGGACATCGTCAAGCGCACAGTGCCTGGCAACGGAACCACGCATCAGGGCCAGCACTTGCTCAAAATGCGGATCGACCGCGGCCATGTCCTGAAGCTCTGCAGAGAATTTGCCAAAAACAACTGAGAGTTTGGCAGTGCCCTAGGGCCTACCTACTAGTAGTACTCCCGTTGGTGGGCGGAAATCGGGCACTACCAAGTAGGTGGGAGGTAATTTAGTGTGTAATAGTTTAAGGAGGAAGATTAAGTAGGTTAAAGACCTCACAGACACGCACAAAGAACCCCATGAACCCTGTCGCTATGCGTTATGCTGACTGCGCCCCTGTACCAATAGCAGATCAGACAGGAGCGATCAATCTTGAAGTTTTCCTGACATCTGACTGTATTACTGTATTTGGTATTTTATCAGCTTCAAGTTGATCAACTGTTGACTGTGACCGTGTGACACTGGCACTTGGACTGGGAGGTTGCCACTGGCACTAGTGGACTTGGACTGGCAACCTCCCAAACTCAATAATGGTACCGCCAGCTGTGAGGTGAATAAGCTCTGGCAGAGGCATGCCTAATGAAGATTGGTTGGTATTGCAAATTAAAATCAAAATTCCATGTTTCTGTTGGTCCCTGATTCACAATTGAGGGAAAGTTAGAGGGAACGGCGTTAGACGGACCCTTCCATAAACATCTGTAAAACATCCCGGCTAAGTTTGTGGACTTTATCATTTTTCGCTTGAATAAGCAAACCAACTTTTGCCTTTTGGAACTGAATATCGGTACTATTCTGCATGCAACGTAGTGCGCGTTTTTGAAAAAGACGAAAATTGGGCATTTCTGGACCAGTTTTCGAGCATCCGTCCCGAACGCCTGTAAGTTTTGCATTTTGAGCCATCAGGGCCACTGAAGGATATGAAGTAACTTCGTGAGCTACTTTGGTTCTCATTTGGGACACAAGGTGCGTGCTATGCTACGTTTCCTCACAACGCAGACGTGCCCCTGCTTGATGTGCCAGGTGATAAAATATTGACATGATATGGTCGAGAATACGTGTATAGTCATTTTTCAATGTATAGAACCAGTCTGTGGGGCGAAAACTCCCTGGGCTAGCACGGTCGTTAGGACATCCACCAGCTCATCCACTCTGGCATGTCTTTTGTCTCTACTGGTTTTCATCATCGTGCTCGGGATTTCTTGATCCTTTGATAACGTATACACCCTGTTTGATAGGTGTGAAGCGAAAGCGCCTGCATGCATGCATAGGAGCATGTCCAAGGTGCAAAGATGTAAGCCTCCCGCCACATCATATCTTGAGGCCCATAGCACCCCATGAAGGCTTTCACTGTATGAATTTCATCAAATCAGAACGCTTTCATTTTTGTGTGTGATGAGTGCACCATGGATCAGCACCTACTTGCTACTTTTTTTTGCATGATGCTTGGCCCGGAATTGTCCCTGCTAGTGGGAGCTAGTGGAAGCTGGCGACATACATGGTCTTTGCACAGGCTGGTGTGTCTTTGCACCAAGCACGTATGCTTGCACCGTTGCAGAGCTCACGATCTGGGATGTTGGTTGATGCAGGGGTGCTCAGCAAAGTCTAGGCTGTTGAAGGACCTGAGCTGGCGTAAACATAGTGGAAGTCACCGCGACTCTTAGCGGACTGGGAACACTCAGAAAGAGTTGTCAATTCCCACAGCAGCCTTTCTCCATCGATGGACCAGCAGGTATGCTGTTGATGAGTTCCTGTGACCTCTCACACTCTCCCAGTATGTTCATGCACAATAGAAGCTACACCCCTCATGCCTCTGCATTTCTTTTTGAACAGCATTATAATGATCATTGAGCTGTGATACCGGGGCAGAAGGGTCACCTAATGAAAAATCACACTCGTGGTGCACAGGCGGCAGTAGGCGAAGCGCCCAGTGTGCATCAGCCAGGCAAGTGGGTGGAGAGTGCGTCCATTGATGGCGAGCGATGGGTGGATTCTTCCGATGCTGTTGCCATGGATGCTTGGGGAACCGCAGCGCCTCCGGCCCCCAAAGCTATATTCGATCCCCAGAAAGCTGCGCAGCAGAAAATGAAGCCACAGCGCAGGACGAGTCTCACAAGTGTGCTCCTTCGCTTGAATGGCAATAGCCTCCTCATGGCTATGCTTATACGTTCGCTGGCATGGCCTCTGCTTTTATGAGACATGCGCTTCCCTGAAGAAAATCTTTACAGTCTTGGCTGTGTCTTTCTGGAAGTCAAATTAGTGTGCTCCATTGACTTGTCTTGTCAGTCCAGTCCCTTTGTGCTGACTGAGTCGATCTGCTCTGTTGCAGTGTCAGACATGGCGCTAGGCAGCCAGGATCAGCGGCAGGGGTCAATCTCGTCGCTGCAGCAGCGGGAAGAGATCATCCAGCAGGGAACACACCAGCAGACGCACCCGCGGCAGCAGCAGCGCTGGACGCCCTCCCCCGCCCTGTCACCTGCGATGACGCCAGCCCGTGAAGACAGCAGCCGCCAGACATCCGAGGATGCCTCGGAAGAAGACGCCGGTGCAGCTGCGGAAGTCACAACGTTCCCAGCTTCTGCAGTCGTTGGGGAGGCCTTGCCTGTCAGCGCCCCACAAGCAGGTAATCAGATTCATTCAGGGGCCAATATTTTTGCCTGTCCGCAGCACTCTGTCTTGCTCTCCTGCATGCAGGCCTGGTTGTGGATGTTCTGCAAGACAAATTGACACATGGCCAAATGCGTGCAGACCTGGACATGGCAGGCAGCGGGGAGCTCTCAGTACCCAACCTGCAAGAGCGGCAGTCGGGGGCGCGCTTTGGCGGCCCGGGGCCGCCGTCCCACGCGCTGAACGGTGCCCGGATGGAGCACCATCTAAGCGACAGCGGCTCGGATGCAGACAGCAGCGAGGCCAGCGAGGGCGAGGACAACATCGATGGTGGTGCGCATCGCCTTTACTTATCGTGCCGCCCTGTTGCAGCCCCGTGCTGTAGGAGGTTACCACATGCACACTCAGGTTTAGGTAGGCGGGAACCATGGCGATTTCGCGGGCATGCATTTGCTGGGGTACATGACAAGGGAGTTGGCGCAATGGACGGCAATGCAGGAGGGCGTGCATGGGTGGGCAGAGTGACAAGATTCACCAGCATCGTGGATCGGCGCATTGAATGCCTGACAGAGACCAGCCTGCTGACTGGCATTTCTTGCAGATGCAGGGTCAGAAGGCGACGATGGGGACATTCCAATCGATGTGGCCAAGGCGCTGGGGCCAGACAATTTGATGGCGCTCAAGGAGATGGGCGGGGACGGCCTCAGCGGCGCATTCCGGCTGCCGGCCGGTTTCGCGCGCGAGCAGGACGCGCGCGAAAACGGCGACGATGACGGGGACGGCAGCAGCGCGACCGAGAACATGGGCGGCAGCTCGGACGATGACCTGGACGCTGACTACGACCCCGCCTACGCAACGGCGCCCAAGTGCATCAACTGCACCGCCCCCCTCTTCATGGACGCCGTCTGCTCGGTGAGGGAATTTGCCGCCCACCTCACTGCGAATTATTTGGGACTTCTCTCTGTCGCAAGAGACTTCAGCGATCTTAAGTGACCCAAGGTTTTTCAGCCGACTCATTGCATTTATACTAGATGTGCTTTTTCCTGAGTGGTACTGGGACAGATCTTTCAAAGTGAGGACAATATTCCAGACCTGCATGCAGTCAGGTCAAGGAAGGTGCATTTTCCATGTGGGCTCACCTCATTGGTGGGATGCTTGCGGCAGGAGTGTGGACATGACCCAGAGGATGACGACGCGCTGTTCAGCACAGAGCAGCAGCAGCAGCATGGGCCGGGGCTGTTTGCCGCGGTAGCGCAGGAGGGAATGTCGCCGGGGACAACGCTGCTGGCGTACGATGAGCGCATGACTCTCCACGAGGAGGACGCGGCCTCGCCCCACCCGGAGCGCCCCGACCGCATCCGCGCTGTCATTGCCCGTCTCCTCTCCACCGGCCTGGCAGGTGAGAAAAGCCTTTTACTTAACAAGGCTGCACAGCTGTCTCCTGCTCGGCTCTCTACTCTCTCCGACTCAAATTTTTGGTGACTGTCCAAGAGTGTACTTCCTGCAGCTTGGCATTTTCTGCCATCATCATACCCTGCGGGATCCAGCCACAGAATGATCACAGGCAGGCGGCTGCAAGACAAGAGAACGGTGGTGTATTGGTGAGCTCCAAAGCCCCAAGAGAAGCTTCTGCATGGCGGCAAACCCCCTTGCCAAGCAATGAGTCTGCTGCGGGCGCAGATCGGTGCAGGCAGATGTCGTGCCGGGAGGCGACGGCTGCGGAGATCGAGGCGTGCCATCAGCCGGCGCTGGTGCGCGCGGTGCAGGCGCTGTCGGCGGCGGCCGCGGGCAGCGAGGGCGAGCCCTCTCCCCCAGCCTACTTCACGCAGGACACATACATCAACGCCTCCACCTTCCTCTGCGCGCGCCTCGCCGCCGGCGGCTGCATAGACGTCGCTGCCGCCGTCGCGGGGTGATCTCTCTGGCCCGCATCTTAGCAACTCTGCAGAAAAGAATACCGCTCACTCATCCCAGTTGATTACACATGGCACTGCATCTTGCTACTGCTCCCTGATTGCAACTGGGCCCCACTGTGCTAAAGAGGGCTATCACAATGGCCGACCAGAAGCATCGTGCAATATGTTTCACAGTGTTTCTGCTCATCAATGGCTGCATTTTTCCCGCTTATGGGCTTGATCATGGCCCGATCATTTGTAGTCTCCTTGACAAAAGCCGCTCATGAATCTACACAGGGCCTGAGCCGGTTGTGGATGGCGTGCAGGGGCGCGGTGCAGAACGGCGCGGCGATAGTGCGGCCGCCGGGGCACCATGCGGAGAGCGGCATGGCAATGGGCTTCTGCTACTTCAACAACGCTGGGCTGGCGGCGCGCGCGGCGCAGGCAGCCGGGGCGCGGCGCGTGCTCGTGCTGGACTGGGACGTGCACCACGGCAACGGCACGCAGCACATCTTTGAGCACGACCCGGGTGTCATGTACATGTCCATCCACCGCTACGACGGGTGCGCCGCCCACCGCCTTCCAGCCCAGCATGCATGCACCACCTTGAAGCATGCATTGCATGAATTGCTAGACTCACAAATACTGATACTGGACTGGACACAAATCAAGATCAGATGCATCCATTCAAAATGCACAGCGCTTCCAGCGCTGCAAACCTGCCACCAGTTGCCTTTGTATCCTTTGTTGGAGTTGAGCCCCTTGGGAGGCATGCTCTAGGAGCCCTCAAGTACTGTGCAGCTGGGAGTGCACAGTGTGTTGTCTACAAAGTAGCGAGTTCTGAAGACAGTGAAGCATGAATGAGCGAGTGCGTGCGTGCAGAGGCCACTTCTACCCGGGGACTGGGGCGGTGAAGGAGGTGGGAAGGGGCGCGGGCGAGGGCTTCACGGTGAACGTGCCCTGGCCCATGGGGGGCATGGGCAATGGCGACTACATGGCGGCCTTCAGCCACGTCATCATCCCCATCGCGCACGAGTACAGCCCCGACCTCATCATCGTCTCCGCCGGCTTCGACGCATCCGCCGGCGACCCCATCGGCGGGTGGGCACCTTGCCTTCAATTGTTGTCCTCCCTTGTAATCCTGTAGGAGTGATGGTGTGCTGGGCCCTTTGGTGAGCTTTGTCGTTTCAACACCGGGCTGCCAACATTCAGAGGGCACAGCCACAGACCTTGTCCGCTTCAAACAAGTGCTTCCTTGATCTGGGCATGGAGTGGTTGGCTTTGCATCTCTGTCTCTGCCCCAATGGCAGTGTGCCACTCTGACTACTGCCTTGGCAGTGGTCTGATCTTCAGCTATCAAGGCTGTTAGCCAAGCAGTATGGACTGGATCATTTGTCTCTGTTGTACCGTGCAAGCGTTGAGGTTTTGGAAGGTTCCCATCAGCGCTCCTGCTGAATCGGCATGAGGGCTGAATGGCATGTGCGCGCAGGTGCCGAGTGACGCCGGAGGCGTACGCGCACATGACAGCCATGCTGGGGGCGGTGGCGCCGCTGGCAGTGCTGCTGGAAGGAGGCTACAATCTCACGGCCACGGCGGCAGGCTGCGAGGCGGTGCTGCGCGTGCTGCTGGGGGCGAAGCCGCCGCGCTTTGCCAAGCCGGCTGTCCCCTGCACCGCCGCCCTCATGGCCCTGCAGCAGGTCGTCGCCGTGCAGGTACGCGCACATGTCCACAGCTCCTGCCCTGCACACCCCTGCAGCCGCTCTCTGCTTGATATAACCAATGACTCTCCTGCTGATACTGCCCCTGCAAAGCCTTGCAGAGCAGCGCGCGCTCGTACACAACAGCTCAGAGGGCGCTCCAGGGGCCATGAAAATCGCTGTTCATCTCCTTGGACATCAAATGGTGTTTATCTGCGCTGGTTTATGACGGCTGAAGACAGCAAAAGGCCCGAAATGCTACTTGGGAAAATGATGGCTGACGGGCTTTTGGTGCATGCGGGTGCAGGGCAAGTACTGGCGGTGCTTGAGGGGCCTGTCAGAGCAGGCGGCCTTCAACCCATACAGCACGCCGTACGCGCTCACGGGCCGGCACGCCAGCCTGGACGCCGACCAGCTGTCACCGCGGCAGCCGGCTAAGAAGCCGCGCCCTGCGCCGGCCGCCGATGCCGGTTGGTCGCCGGGGGCCTCCGGCGCGCAGCGCGGCGCGTTCCCTCCGGCGGGCTTTGCGTCGCCGTCCCACGCCCGAGGTGCGCATCCGCCGGTCTCTACCTCTTGAGTAACTCACCAAGTCCTCAATACAGCATGGCACCTGTAAGGTGGATGTCACACAAAGCCACCACAATCACGCGCTGTCCATTTTAATGTCTCATGCCTCTACACAGGCTGGCGACTTTGCAGCTGTCAGCAATCGTTACTGGAATTTGCTGAACACAGTCGTGGCTTGCGCAGAGGGAGACTCGTCACGGCCGAGCTGGCCTAGGGGCAACGGCCCCGCCTCGCCGCGAGGCGTTGTGCGCATGGGCACGCAGGAATTTGGGCCTGCGGCGGGCAGCCCTGGCGGTGTCTCGCGCGCGCTGCACCGCACCAAATTCATCGCCAAACGCCACAGGGTACTACACATTCTTTGGTTTGTCTGATGGTGGCCACTTCAGAAGCCCCAGAAGCCCTTCATTTGATGTCCGATTTGGCCTCTTGAGACATGAAGGAAATATTAGCTGCAGTTGGAAGGCAGTTGAGGATGCGCGAGGATAGAGGAGGCCATTTACTTGCTGTAAACACTTGGTGTGGGCATTGAAAAAATATCGGTAGTGGGATGTCTGTTGAGATGGGCCTGACGATTTTGCGGGCTCTGTTGCAGGGAAAGAGCCAGCGGCGGTGGCAGATGCTGCACGCACTGCATCTATTTGCGCTGCGGGACATGATCAAGCGGCACTACCGGAAGCGCTCGCGGCAGCAAACCCAAGCCGCCCACTCGCAGGGATCTGGCGAAATGGGCACACCTCTGAACTCAGAGGAAGGCAGCCCCTGATTGAGCCTCTCCCTTTGCAATGTCTGTGTCACTGTTCCGAGCCACCTGTGTGTGCTTTTCCGCCTGTGCATTTGCGGTGCTACCAGCCAGGCCTGGTCTGCAGATGGGGCTGTCGGGACCGGGGTGTTTTGTCATGTGACTGCCTTACGAGTGAACGCAATTTGTGTGCATGTGTGCGGTCGTGTGTGCCTCGTGCTCAGATGTCTGTGTGTGACGACTCCTGAAACTCGCGCCTCTTTTTAAGCACCTCACTTATGCTATAGAGAGGAACTTGCAATGCGAAATTGAAATGGCTGCCGTGCATGGCACTCCACTGCAATTACGGTGATGTATGACATGTAAATTGAATTTGGTGGTGAAGAATCCAAAGCTATTCTGTGTGATCCTCCCAATTGTGCATTACAGATGCAAATACACAGCAGTCCAATTTCAAATTGCAAGTTGCAACTTTAATTTTTGAAAGGTCACGCGTGCGCCAGCATGCTGCAAAACACAACCTCTGCAAACAGAGGCTAATTCTACTATGACCGAACGCCTAGCGCGCATTCTACTGAAGCAACATGAGGTGAACAGTCAGATTGTCCAGGTGTGGCCTCTTGCAGCAGCTGCTGTCTGGTGAGCAGATTTCCAATCCGCTTCTTGTCATGACTCACCCACAGTGACTGCATATGGTGAGGTTGATGCACATACTCAGTTGAAGACAGACATTTCACGGAGGAAAGAGAGCTGCGCAGCATGCAAATAAAGAAATTGCAATCACACAAGTCAATGTTGGACCTGCCCAATCTATCCAAGCCGCAAGGCTGCTAAAAAATCCAAGCACACGCAGATTGACAAGAAAAATTTCTAAGGAACATCCTACATTGCATTTTTGCACCTTGACACCACCAGCATTCCTGCCTAGGACAGCTGCCGCAAACATCAGCAAATTAACAACAACACAGACCCGGTGATACGCAGCCCACCGCTTATGTCGCCAACTGCAGAATGTCCACTTCGCGGTACTCTCTCAACCCACCAAATCTTGACCAGAGCAATAAAATCATCAGAATCCACGCAGAACACGTGCCATAATGAAAATTACGCATACTTCTTGAGTGACGGCTGCAACACCCGCCTCAATTTCAATTCCCGCACGCATGCCAAACCATCCTCTGCTCGCTCGCTGTGTTGCGCTGTCTGCTTGAGCACTTGCTGTTTTGCCGTGCCAACTTCAGTGGACTGCGAAAGACTTTCCTCCCGCACTGAACCGCGCTCCTAAGCCTGCCGCACCACTTGCAGCACCTCTGTCAGAGCGCGCCGGGGGTCAAAACCGCGTCCCCTGACGGCTGTTTCTCGACCGCTGATCCCGCGTTGCTGCCGGATGCCGTCCGATTGCCGCTACCGGCACCAGGGGCAATCCCCCCGGCTTCGCCACCGCTGCCGCCGCTGCTGGCGCGGCGGGGAGCGACGGCGGCCCCCGGCGTAAGGGGCTGTGATGCATTGGTGCGGAGAGAGGCGGTGCGCACGAAGGGGGCGATGATCTCGGCGCACTCCTGCGCGTCCGGCCGCTCCTCCACGTCGCCCGTGCACCGCGACACCAGGTCCGCTATTTCCTGCGGCGCCTCCTCCGGCACCCTGCGCACATTTAAGGGGTTCGCAAAATATACTAGATGTGAGGGATCTGCACCCAACCGCTCGATGTCAGCCGCCTGCCCTGCCACGAGTACAGTGCAACGCCCTTTTCGGCGCCACGCAATGCCCTCACAGATGCCAAGTATCACTCCCCTTTCCGTTACTGTCATTTCCATTCCTGAGCAAGCCCTCAGCCCTATACATGCCTGCTAAGCACATTTATTCATGCACTGCCTTGCGGTTTTTCACCCTGTAGGCCAAAGTGGGCGAACACACTGGGACACCAAGGATCTACGGAAACTCGAGCACCGGTCTGCCTGCACTTCTTCAGCGAGCAGGGTGGGGCGTTGCCAAGAAAGGGGCAGTGGGCGCGTGCCTGATGTCTCGGAGGTTGCCGCGCCAGGCGGGGCGCTCGAGGGTGATGATCTCCCACAGCACCACTCCAAAGCTGAAGATGTCTGCCTTCATCGTCACACGGCCGCCCAGGATGACCTCGGGAGCCACCCAGGCCCATGTGCCGGCCGGCGCCATCTGGCTCAGGTAGGAGCGGCTGATCAGTGCTGCCAGCCCCACGTCGCTGATCTTGGCCGTGCCGTCCGCTGCTATCAGCACATTGCTGGACTTCAGGTCCAGGTGCGCCACCCTGCGCAGCAGCGTCCCCATAGATTGGCATGCAGGCAAGCAGAAGGGGCAGAGAGGTGGCGTGTCCGCTTAGCTGCGGTATCTGGCTGCTTTCTCGTCTACAGCATGAGCGCATTGAAATGCTATAAAAGGGGGCACAAGCAGGACTCGGGGTCGCTGGACCAAGGCAGCGAGGCAGAGGTCCAGAGCTACAGGACCGGATTTTCAAGCATGCAATGATGTGGCCCTCTACTGGAGCAGCTGTGGGAGGAAAGCAAGGCTTGCTGTTTGAGAGGAGGCTGTATGTGCACAGTTGTGGGCCTCACCGAAGGTCGTGGAGGAAGTGAAGGCCGAGGGCGATTTCGTAGGCAACGCGCTTGCCGCGGTTGTTCCACTGGAAGATGAGGCGCCCGTCCTTGGCCACGCGCGGCAGCACGTCCCACAGGTTGCCGTTGTCCATGTAGTCCATCGCCAGGATTGTGTTGCCCTGCACGCCACAGCACTCACATCTCAATAAAATCTCTCCACAAATCTGCCTTATCCTTCTGCCTTTCACACTCATCACAGCCGCCATGCGCCCGACATTCCGCAGGAACGGCAGACCCCAGTGAGGCGTGCTTGAGCACATGCATGACTGCGCCCAGCTCACAGGGCACCCATCAGCCAGCAAAAGTATCATGCACAGTTAGGGCACACCCCTCATTGGCTGGTTGGCACTGGCTCTTGGGTGACACTTCCAAGTTTCAAGTTTCACCTCAGAACTAGCGCAACTTGGCCACTGAACGCACAGTGCGTCCGCAATCCAAAGCCTTTGCTGGGACCCATGCATGCCTGAGGGTGGTGCTGTGCCCACCACTCAGACATAAACATAGCTTCCCAGAAAAATTCTTCAGGTCAAGGAGAGGAGACTGACCGGCTGGAGGCTGGCACCGACGAAGGGAACGACGTAGCGGGATCCGCGGCAGGCGCGCAGGATGGCCATCTCCTTGAGGAAGGCGACCTGCTGCTCGGGCGACTGGTCGCGCATCCGCTTGATGGCCACGGGCGCCATGCGGTAGCTGCCCTTCACCACCACCCCAAACGCCCCCTTCCCCAGCTCCACCTCCGTCCCATCCTCATTCAACTCCACCTGCGTGACAACGTTACCGCGTTGATACTGTCTGCTGTGCCACATACGTCCTTCAATTCCCGGAGCTCAAGCCAGGGTATGAGGATGCCTCACTGCTGCAGTCCAACTTCAGCACGACGCTCGTGACATGCTGAATGGTGATGCTGATCACAGCAGCGCCACAAGCGCATTGCAGAAGACTGGACTGTGGCTGTGAACTTTATCCTGAAAGCCTGGCAAAGTCTCAGTAACCATAACAAAAGCAACACTTGGATGACACCGGCGCAGTGAGGCAAAGCACAGATAGAGTGCCATAGCAATGGGGGACGGACCTGCAGGGCGTCAAGATTGAGCTCCCAGTCCTTCCAGGGCATGGAGGGCAGCGAGTAGTTCTCCGTGCTGCCCCCCTGCTGGCTCAGCGCCACCGAGCCACTGCTGCCCCCGTCCCGCAGCCCGCTGCCCGGCGCGCCGTGCCCGCTATACTGCCCGCTGTGCTGCCCACTGCCCGGCCCGCTGTGAGTGTCTCCCGATCGGGACTGCCCCGATCTGGGAGTGTAGCTGCCAGAGGCGCGGCCGCTGCCGGACACACGGCTGCCGCCGTTGGAGCGGGCCGGGAAGGAGGCGGCCATGCTGGAGGGGGCGCGCGAGAAGGGCACAAAGCTGTGCGGCGCTTTGGGCGGTATGATGCTGTCCGAGTCATGCGGTGGCACGTCCACCCGCATCAGCGCAGTCACCTGTGCTCATTCAAGAGCAGCTGTCAGCACCTACTCTCAAACAGCCCACCAACGTGGCCTTTGCCCGTCCACAAAGAACGACCAGGGCTTCACATTTGAAGCGCGCGTCTCTCCCGGGGGAGCTGCAGAAGAAATAATAGAGGCGCAGCAGAAGCTGGTAGAAATAGGAAGTGGGAGCTGACCTTGTCGTCCAGCGAGAAGGCCTTGTGGGGCTGGTTGCCCCACAGCTCCTGGTCCATCCCCCGGGTGCGCCGCTGCCGCAAGCGCCGGACGCCGTACCAGGCCGCAAGAGCGACAAGCACGATCAGGAAGCAGCCGCCCAGGACTGCGCCGGTGATGGCCGCCTCCACGCGCACGCCGGTGCCGGCCGATTGTGTGGAGGTTGACGTGATGTCCACTGGGCAGGGCTTGCCCAGCGAGTAGACCTGCTCCGCGTCCGCGCTGCCTGCCTTGGAGAAGACCGACACGCCATTCGGTGCGATCCCGCAAAGTCCCTCGTTGCCTGTTTGCGCAGCACACAACAGTCAACCGTCAGCTCATTCAGCAACTACCGGATTGTGTAACTCTCCTGCAGCACTGATGAATTCAGCGTAGCTCCGTCTGCCATGCTTGTCATTGCACTCCTTTCCCTTGCCTGTCATATTCCTCTCTGTATAACAGACAATTTTCCATCTGGGACAAGCAAAGCACCCCCTTCCCTTGCCTGTCATATTCCTCTCTGTATAACACACAATTCATCCATCTGGTACAAGCAGAGGAAGACACATGCTTGTGTTGAAGGCGAGAGGAGTGCGCGCAGAGCTGCTGCAATAGGGCAGCGGCGCACCAGGCTGGACGTAGAGCGATTGGAGGTTTGGGAAGTGGGCGCGGCCGGCTGCGTCGAGCGCCCAGGAGGCTGGCACAGGCCCACTGAGGTTGTTGGAGACGAGGGTGATGTTGCGGATGTTGGACATCGAGTTGCCGTCGCCCCAGGACGCCGGCAGCGTGCCGTTGAGCAGGTTGGCGTCCAGGTGCAGCTCCTGCAGGTACGCCCACGACTGCGCCCCATTGGCCGACCACCTGCGCGGCGGCGATGCCTATCAAAACCCAAGTTTTGCGGAAGCACGTTTCTGATCCTGGTGACAAGCCTCTTGCCCAGATGGGGTCTACAACACTCCAAGCGCTGTGACTGGATGCCTTATGGCCATGCTCAGGTGGCGGCTCCAGACTGACGCATGATGGTGAACAGATGACAAACAGCAATTGAGGCTACAGGAACAGCTGAAAATGCTGCTTGAGTGGCAGAGCAGAGGAAGGGAAGGGATGGCTCACTGAGAGGGCAGGGTGCCGCGCAGGTTGTTGCCGACAATGTTGAGGGAGGCCATGGCGCCCATGTTCGCCCACTCCGGCGGCAGCGTACCTGCAGCACACCTCACTTCATTGAATAATGCTCATCATAATTTGATACACCACATCTGATGTGGGCTTGGTGGCAGTGGGCTGCAGACGCCTGTGCAATGATCAACCTCATGGCAACGCTCCAGAGCTGCGAAGGGAGGAACACTGAACAAAGAGGCTCACCGGAGAGGTAGTTGTAGTTGAGGTCGAGGACGCTAAGCAGGGGCATGTTGGAGGACCAGGAGACTGGCAGCGTGCCGGTCAGGTTGCAGCCCTGCAGCGCCAGCACCTCCAGCTTGTTCAGGCTGCTGGTCTTGGAGCCCCAGTCTGCCGGCAGCGGCCCGCTCAGGCGCCAGTTCCTGTTGAGGTACAGCGCTCGCAGCGCAGGGAACGCCCCATTGTCCGCCCAGCTGTTTGGCAGCGTGCCCTGCAACTCATGCATGCAGCAATGTCAGTGGGAGCCGCCACACAGGCTGAGGACTACTCCACAACACGCTAAATGCCGCCAAGGGGTTCACAGCGCCCAAGAGGCCCACTACATGATGGCTGGGTGGTGAGTGAGGCCCCCAGTATGGCGTCCTATACAAAGCGGGTACTGTTTTGCAGGCCTGTGACAGAGGCCCGGTTGTCACTGCCCATGACACCGTGAAAGCGGCTGACGCCAAAGGGCTCCATCTTTGCTGTGCTTAAGATGCATCTGCTGAGTTGCCCAACGGAAAGAGCGGCCTGACAAAGTATGCATGGGAGAGGGGCGCACCGAGATGTCATTGGCGATGAGGCGCAGCTCCACAAGCTTGGGGAGGCTGATGTTGGCGGGCAGCGTTCCCGTGAGCAGCTGGTTGTAGAAGTCCAGCTTGGTCAGCTGCGGTAGCGCCGACACCACTTTCAACACCTCCCCCACATCCCCTGCACCAAATAATCCGCATTCAGCCCCCTCATTTGCAAGTAGCTCGAGCTGACTCCACTCAGGAGCGGACACACTCATGTGCGCGGCGCTTTGTTGTGAGCGCCCAACAAAGCGCTGTCCACCCGCATTTTGCAAACAGCTCTGGGAACTTTTTTTGGTGCACAATTTTCCCTCGTGCCAAAAATCACATACAATAACCCTGAATATGGCCAGACCCCATGCACAAGATGAAATTGCACAAGCTGAAGCGCAGAGGTAAAAAAAGTGAGCCACTGACCTTTAAGTTGGAGCTCGACGCTGGCATGCACAATGGAGTGGTCGTAGCCTTGCGCAAGGGGGGCCAGGACAGGGGGAGCGCGCGCGGGGATGCTGAAATTGAGCGATTGAACAAAGCCCTGCGGCGTGCATGTGACGCCCTGCCAGGAGCACATGGGCAGGCTGGCGTCCCAGTGGGAGTCCTCCGTGCGCGACACCATGTCAAAGTCTGTGAAGGTGGCCCTCAGCCGCAGCAGCGTCGCCATGTCACCGGCTGCGCATGCAAGCATGAGTCAGGACTCATAGTATTCCCACTGCTGCATTCTATTCATGCCTTGCCCACATCAATCTCCCAAATGTCATTGAAAGGCAAACATTCAGCCTTACAAGAAATAGTAAGTTGTTCGTGGCTCTTGAGGCGATGGTAAGAAGATGGAAGCGTACTTGCGGACTGGATGGGAATCTGGGCAGGGACAGTGGGTGCGGGTGCAGGTGCAGGGCACTGCGGTGCAATTCCCTGTCTCCTGACACAGTCGCGCCGAAAGTAGCCGCAGCTGAAGACATTGTAGTTGGGCATAGGGCCGCAGAAGGCATTGTCTGCAGTGGCACAAACATTTCATCTCTGCAGCCTATCTTGGAGACTCTATGTACTTCCAAACTAGGCTCACCGACAGGGAGAATTGAGAAGGCATGTGGTAAGCAATCTTAGGACAGGCACATGACACATAGTAAAGGCACAGGTGCCACACATGCATTTAGCAAGCACGCTGGGTGGGAGGGCAAAACCTTTCGTGACAAGGAAAGAGAGCCCAGCATAACCCCATCCCGTTGGAACAACACCCGAGAAGTTGTTTTTCGAGGTGTCAATGACTGACAGCTTGGGCATTGTGCCGTTTTTGTTCCAACTGCACACAAGCATGCAGCCTTCAGGCCCTGCTTTGAGGCAAGGATCTGATGACGCTTCATTTGTGCAGCACTCTGCCAGCCATTCACGCATACCAGCACTTTGTAAAGGTCTACTATCAATTCTACAAATTGTCAGAAAGCCCGGAGCAGTTATAAGGGATACTCACGCTGCAGGCAGGCTGGACGACAGAAAATTGCTGTACAGTTGCAATCTCATCAAGTTTGCAAACGACCCATTCGCCCCCCATGTGTCAGGAATGCTCCCTGCACTTGCCACAGCCCAGCTGATTCTAGAAATTAGACCAAACTGTCTAAACTAGGCAGATGCTACTTCAAAGAGCCCTAATGTGTGCTTGGTGTTCAGCGCACCTCTCAGATTATTTCGATCAAGATTCAGCCCTGTGAGATTCAGCGTACTCCATGCTGCTGGCAATGTCCCTGTGCAGCATGAAATCCCATTGGCATGAGTTTCTTCACGCTGCTGACTCAGGACCCTTCCTTTTGTGCGCTTTGTGGGACAGGGTCAGCACCAACCTGACAGCGCATTGGTGGAGACATTGATATCCTTCAGCGCTGGCAGGTTAGTCGCCCATGCGGCCGGGAGGGTCCCTGAAACATTGCAGTTGTTGATCTCCAGCCTGGACAGCGCCCTGAAACTGCTGCCATCCGTGCCCCAGGACGCTGGCAGTGTTCCCCCAAGGTCTGGGTTGAAAGACAGGGTGAGATTCTGCAACCGAGGAAACGAAGCATCCAGCCCCCAATCCGCCGGCAAAGACCCCTGCACAGCGATATTCTTCATCCAACCACGACATGTTGGGTGATCTCATTATCCATTGCATTGAATGCTTGTCTCCTGCAAAAGAGTCGAATCCCCACCTCTATGTAGTTATTGGCCAGGTCCAGCTCCTCCAGGATAGGCATGCTGAGGCTGCTGTTGGGCAGGGTGCCAGTGAAGGCCTGCCCTGACAGATCCAGTCGCTTCAGCTTGGGCAACAACGATGCCCCATACAAAACCTCCCCAATATCACCTGCACATGCAGAAAATTGCATATTTCGACCTATATCCTGTGTGCGCTGCATGCAACCTGGCGAGAAAGGTGTCGACATGGTCTCACTTGATCCTTGCATCGCTCAAGATCCAAAGCAGGCGGCAAACGGATCCTTGTTAGATAAGCGCTCACCGACAAGAACGGAGCCATTGTTTAGAAAGTGCAGGCCCACGACTTGCTTGTCAATACAGGTGATCCCCGGCCAGTTGCACACGTTGGCACCAGGCTTATCACTCCACCCAGTGCACTGTGCTCTCCGCATGTAGATACCAAAGTTCTTTATGGCATTTCTCATGAAAATCAGCCCATTCTGATCTGCACTGTAGCCTGCGCACGCAGCAGCGTTGTTTTTGTAATCCACTACCGCACACCCTCCCAGACACTGCGGATCGCATCACGCAAGCATTTGGCGAGACAGGAGCAAGCTGATGTACCTTTGGCATCTGTGAGAGGTTGGCCAGCCGTGAGGCATGCACACCAACAGATAAAGCTGAGACGCAAGACGACAACGGCCATGTTCGCAATTATAGTTTCATGGCCTTTGTGTCCTGCTCCCCTCCTTTCCTTTGGGACCATTGAGCAGGCCAGAAGCTGATGCTGCTTCTTAAAACGGCTCAAAGGTGATCTGGCGCACTTCCGTACATAAACTTTGCAGCTGATACTGCCGACTGGGAGAAAAGGGCGCGCTCAAGAGGACTGCGTGACAGGGAAGTGTCACGAGAAGCTGCATGCAGGGAACCCCACTGTGTCAAGCCCATAATGTAAGGAAAATAGCCAAGTACTCGTAGCATTTAGGATGATCCCAATCATCCAGAGACACTCACATGCAGTAGAAGAGGCGAAGAGCACTCAAGACCTACTTGCCTGGTCACGAGGAAGGCAAAATGCCTGACAGACCGACGCCACTCTGTCCCTTTCGACAGCGCGTCGGCTCGGATCGCTGCCTGGATGAAGCAGATGAATCTCCCGTTTAATCACACGCTCAAATGATTCATGTCCCACGACCAGCTCTGACTTCTTCACTGGCTACTGGCTGCGATGCCGTCTCCTGCGCGGCCACTTCGGAAAACCGTCAGTCCTGAAGCCAGGTGTTATGAACGCATGCATGAGTTCGCTTCATGAGCGCTCTCGAATGCGAGCAGCAAAACAAGAAACTGGCGTGGGACAATCCGGGGCTTCAGGGTCTATTGGCACATCCGAAGAGATACGCTCCCCCGGGCCCGTCAACAAGTGGGGTTTTTCAGGGATCAGAGGTATCGATGCATCAACCCTAGAGGCTTACCGCGCTTGCACATTAGGTAAAGCACGCTTGTTCGTTCTGAAGCGGGAGGGATACAGCTGGCGACTGCCACTGTTTGAAAGCATGTGCTAGAGCACTTGAGGCAACGGCGGAGGTGTGACAAACCAACAGAAGTTGGGGAAACCCGCAATCCTCTGTTGCACATCCACGACGATGTAAGCTGAAACATGCTGATGGGCGCAGCAGATCTTCACAACTTGTTGGAGAATGAGTGATTGACATTGATGGATGGGGTCGAGACGGAAGGAAGCCCGAGGGCGATATCAGAGGCAACATCAGATCAAGGAGCAGATGCCCTTCAAGATGTGTCTTTTCCCCGTTCAGCTGCAAGCGCCCAGCCTCCTGTGGAGTTGCGAGCCGTGGGGCAACAGCTAAGGGGGAGAACAGATGCTGGGCCTTTCCACAGAGAGCTGCAGCAAACGGCTTTATTGCGCCAGCAGGAGGTGAGGCTTCCTCAAGGACAATGGGGCACATGTAGTGCAATGCGGATGAAATAGTAATTTATCCTGGTGGAGGTGCAATCAAGGCTGCTACTGGCCTACCAGAGAAGTCTAACAAATACCAAACTGATCAACAGGCAACCATCACCTCTGCTGGCCAGCAGCCCTCCTGGCTGACTGGATCAGGCGGAAGGCTGGGAGCAGCATCTGGTCTCACAATGGATTCCAATGCTTCTGCTGCCATGCGGCAACCGAGCATCAGCCTTACAGCCCCAGCAACAAGCAGCCGCACCATTCCTCGCCAGGTAGACCACAGCGCCGCAAGTGGCTCTTTTATGGGTATTCAGATACAAACAGGACCAACATACTCCCTTCAGACATTGTGGTCTTGTCAAGAACTGTGACTGCACCTATCAATCTACCAGAGAGTATCTCTATTGCCATGGAAAGAAACACTGGGAATGTGTGGGGGCTCCCCACCAGCTGGCTTGAAGGAGTTGGTTGTTCTAGACTTGCATCTACATGCTGAGTCTGACAGGCACTGTGCAACTTTGTAGGATTCTCTGGCATCTGGTCCCAAGATCAGTGTGCCCTCCCGCACAGAAAAGACATCCTTCCTTGTGCAGCAGCCCAGCTCCAAGCTCTGGATGGAGGCTGTCCCCATGAGGTGAGCTGCTTCCTTCATCCACCTGCCCGCATGTCTTGCAGTGCATAGATTTACGATGGAACAGCTCTATTGTGGGCCGCATCACTTATCTTGAGGGCCATGAGATGCATGGCCAATAGAGCAGAGGATGGCAACAGGAGGTCCTCCCTTGGGGGGGGCGCCTGCCTGGTGATAACCATATGCTGCCTGATGCGGTCTGTTGTGCTGGCAGAGTCGGAACAAAGGCGACCACGACTTACAGAGTGTACAGCAATGCGTTCATGGAAGGGCGGCAGCAGGACAGCAGGCTGGGGCGCGGCAATGGGCGGTCGGGCATCCCAAGCATCCAGTCAACCTCTGTCACGCTCAGGCAGCCCGCCTGGTCCCGCTCGGTCAGCAACCCCTCCCTCTCCTTACCCGATCCCCCTGTTTTCCCCAGCTGCATCAAATGCAGGTGCCAAAGCTGCGATTATCCACAGGACTGCAGAGTGGTTTGCTTGCTGGAAGTCACATAATTATTTGGCTGTAAACAATCTGTTCATTTATTGATTCTTGCTGAAGGCTCGCAGAGTGAACATAGCAAGCATTGTGGGAAAGCAGGGTTTTCTGACATCTGGCTGGAATGTGCTTGCAGGGTGCTTTGGTGTCGTCAGGCGCTCCTGCCAGGCAGGACGGTGCGCGCCGCGGAGCGCCGGAGGCGGCCGGGCCCCGCGTCGGCCCGCCGGCCCCGCCTCAGCGGCAGGCGTCCTTCGACCTGAAGCAGACCGGGCACGCTGTGGCCGAGCGCATGCTCCAGAGGGTGCGCTGCTGACACTGACCATCAAATTGCTCTCAACACTTCTTGCTGCAGATGAGTGGCAGTGGATTTGCAGCATCCAGCTGTGCATTCCAAACTCTCTGAATGTCTCCTTCACTTCAAAGCCATGCATTCCCCAATTCTGCGGCAGTGCTCAGCATCGAGTATAATACCCTTTTTAAAGCTCATCAATATCCTACTCTTTGAAGCCCATGGTTGCTGGGATGCTGTTGTTTAGTTCTACCAGGAGCAGCCATCAACTATTGAGGCATCCGCCGAGGTTGGCATTCAGGAACTCAACAGGAGTTCATTGTGTTTGGCAGGGGTATGTGGTGCGGCCGCGGCGTGAGGACCTAGCATCGGAGTCCCAGGAACTTGCCGTGAGCGCGGCCTCCACCGGAGAGGTGCACCGCCAGGCAAGCGCATCAATAGCAGCCAGCAGACGGCGCGACTCGGGCAGCCCCGCAGAAACCGCCACAAAGCAGGCAGCCACCGCAAAAATGGTGCGCTTGCGCAGCCTTACTCATCCAAGACCCGATCTGCAGGCAAGGAATGCAAGCAGCCCAAGGACTGTGCTTCCACAATTACCTGCCACCCGTGTTGCTCACTTTGGGAGGAATACGGCCTACAGTTGCCACGGCCTCTCTTCACATGCCAAGGGATCTCTTCAAGCTGTCAAATGTTAGGGTGGCTGAGGTCTTGTGGTGGCGGCTGCAGGATCAGGAGCGCCAGCTGGCTGCGCTGCTGTCTCTGCCGGACCTGTCAAACGCCTCGCTTGCTGAGGCACAGGGCTCCTCAAATCTCATATACATCCTGAAGACATTACAGGTGCGCATCATCCTTTAAGAGCAGCCCCTTGTTTTCCAGCTCTTGCATTACAGCCCACCTTGGGAAGGACTGCTGTGTCTGCCTCCTCTGCTGCCATGTGCTTGCTTGGGACTCAGGACTGCTGTGGGGAGTACATGCATCGAATGACTGCATGTTATCGACGGGCAGGATCATGGAGGCATGAACCCCCAGCGGCTGCTACAGCAGCTGCAGGCGGCTATGAAAGAGTCGCCGATGCAGCAGGCACTTCTGATGCACATGCTGCAGGAGTCGCTGGCATCACCCAGCCAGCCACAGGCCCCCACGCGACAGGTATACCTGTCATGCAAAAAGCTGCTCGGCTGGCTATGCACAAACCTGGCTGCCTGCCTGTGTGCCCTAACCCTGCATCTGTCTATGTGGCGTCCTGGAACGACAAACTTTGAGTCATCTTCTGAGTCTAAACCTCTGTGATGTTTTGCAGGAGAGTGAGTACAGGGAGAGGGACCGTGATAGGCACAGGCGCGAGCCGGTTCCGGACAGGCATAGGGAACCGGATAGACCAGCTGTTTCCCCAAGAAACGCGGACTTGGCTGCCTCACAACAGCGTCCGGCAGCCAAAAGGATCTCGCACGAGGAGATGGAGGTGAGCCCCTGATTTTCGCCACTCATCTGTGCACAGCAGACTCGGAAGTTACAACCCTTCCTATCGTTCATCCTTCTGTCTATGTAAGGAGTTATGAGACATTAATACCTGTCATGGTATGACCTTTAAAGTAGCAGCGCTGGAATAGGCATTGACGACCTCTCTGATTGTCTCAGGCATCGATGCGGCGCATGGGGTCAGAGCCGGAGCAGATGCGCGTGCCGAGCCGAGCAGGGCCCAGGTCGGGCAATGTGTCACGGCTGGGCAGGGACCATGCCCCGGAGCCGGACCGCCACAGCAGGGGACCCCCACCGCAGGGGCAACTGGCGGAGGACCGGGCGCGGGTAGCCACTACCGCTCGCCAAGATCAGCCCTCCACCACGCTGCCACGTCTTGTGTTCAAGGACACCACGGCGCCCAGTGACAAGTGCGCCTTTCTGCTCTTCCAACCCGCACAACGGCAGATGATGGCCTTGCCACTTGCCTGCCGGGACTGAGCGATGCGTGGAAGTGCTGCAGGCAACAGCGCATGAACCCCTTCGAGGGGCTGCGCATGCAGCAGTACAAGGCGGCGGCGGCGAAGGAGGAAAATGCCACGGCGCGGCCGACACGCCCGGCTGCGGCGCATGCCGCTGACGCCCCCACTGCCGTACGCGAGGCCAAATGTGAGCCCGCGCAGCCGGCGGCCGGCCCGGCATCCCAGCCGACAGGCGACGCTGGGGATGCACAGCCGCCTCGTCCCAGGGAAGACAACCTCAGGCAAGCAGCTGCCGCCACGCTCGCGCTGCTGTATCAGTCCTCGTTGCTTGTCGTGCTGTAGCGAGGAACGATGCACATTCCCCAAAGTGGCTGATGGTGCCATGGAAAGCAGCATTCAAATTATGTCAGGTGCCCACAGAGCTCAGTCTGCCTGGCCTTTTTGGGGGCTCCGTTGACCGGGGCAGTCCTGCGCGCAGGGAAGCGGCCAAGATGCTGCTGTGCCTCAATAGTACCGAGCCGGTGGCCAGGGGGGACCAGGCACCGGCGCAGGAGGGCGCCTCCCCGCCACCTGCTGCTGCTGCTGCTTCCAAGGAGGAGCCCCAAGCGGCTGCAGAGGATGCCCCCACTGAGGCAGGGAACGCCTCCATTGTGAGCCCCCTGCAGGCCCTTGTGCAGGACATCATGCAGCAGCAGAAGCAACGTGCCCAGGTGGGTGGCCATAGCATATGCAGAACATGCACGTTCCAATTTTTTGTCAGTTTCTGAAAATTGCTGGTCTCTCTGGCGCCCATGGTCTTACTGATAGGAGAACAGCCGGCAGTTTATTAGCTTGGCAGTGCTGTTCTGCTTGAGGTCTGTGGGGTTTGCAGTGGCATTTTGATGTGGCTGTCTTTCCTGGCGACAAGACCTGCCAAGGTCTCAACAGGCGGCGCTCATTTTGGTTGCGAAGGGGTTGCTGGCTGTGCAGGAGAGCGCTCTGGCAAAGCTGCCATTGGGTGTCAGCCGCATGGAGCGGCGCGGGGGGGACCGGACGGCTGCGGCCATGAGCGACGAGGAGGCATTTTCTCCGCCGGCCCCTCCCGGAGGCCGCAAACGCGCGCCCAGGATGATGGGCCTCAACAGGTCTGCTGGCATGGGCCTTGCCTCTATCCTGAAGCAGTTACTCAGTCAGTGGACCCTGCTCCTTGGTGATGCTGTGAGAATATGCATTTTTTGCTGGCTACATGTTGCAGGCATGCAGAGGCGGCAATATTGGCTAGACGCTGTTGGATTCAACCAGCAAAAGTGTGTGCCGAGACACTGAGGGGCGGCAGGGAGAGCAATTGGCTGTACGACTGAGATGGAGGGCGTGTGCAGCATCAGGGATCCGGGGCCAGCGCCTGTGATGGAGGAGGCTGTGGGGAGCGGCCTGCTGCGGGAGCCCAGCGGCAGGACCCTCAATGTTCTGGGCTTTGTCGTGCCCTCAGCGCCGCGAACTGGCCATATTGCCCGAGGGGATGGCGCGCCCGCATTCGTCGAGCTGCCGCCACCGTCGCGGCATCCAGGGTCAGCTTCTCCTCGCTGTGCCTCGCTTCATGAGACCATTACCACCTTGATCAGATCGAGCTTGCATGCGTGCTATGTAGTACATGTCTTCCAGTGCTCGAGTGGTCATGCCGAGGTTCGGTTGCACGGGCACATTGAGCTAGATAAGGGGGGCAGTAATGCGAGTGAGGCGATAAGTGGTGTCCAGATTTGGCGCTGTTGAGGGTACCCGGCGCAGAGCAAGCGGCAGCGTGGGCGAAAGCAGCGGGGGGAGGTCCGAGCCCGGGGGCCCCAGCGCGCTCTCAGGCGCCTCTGCAGAACGGCGCATCTCCCACAGCCTCTCCGGCCGCCGCGTCACGCGCCCCGTCCTGCACGACTCCAGTGCGCGCTGCTGCCTCTGTTATTTGACCGACCAAGGGGGCACGAGCATGGGCTCGTTCCCAGAACATGAGGATGCATGAAGGCTGCTATCCTGGCAGTCCTTGCCCTGGGTCTATTTGCCTGCTGTGAGGCTCCTTTGTCAACTGAGAAGGGGTGCACATTGCCTGATAGACCAGCAGCATCTCAGCTCTTATGCGCCCTCATGCCTGCCTTCTCAATACCTGGCGCTCAGTACCTGGTGTATGTGTGCATTAGCCTCTTGTCATGCTCTCATATCGTCCTGGGAATTTGTTGCAGGTGTTGAGTTCTCGGAGGAGAGTTCGGAAGAGCAGCACACCACCGACAGCGAGTCCTGGGACACCAGCAAAGAGCCCCGGCATCGCAGGCGACGCAGGAAGCGGTGACGCCGCCAGATTGTCGGTAGCAAACAGCGCAAGAGCAACTAGCAAGCAGTGCCCGGCACATACCCAAAACAACCAATAGCAAGTGTTGTTGTGGAGTCAAGAGGTGGCTCATGGCTCTGAGCCAATGCTGCCACAGTCCACACCCAGATGTGGCCTGATTGCCAGATGCAGCGCCAGGAATCTGTCGCTGAAGAGCAGTTAGGTTGAGCATTCATCCACGAGTTGTCTGGCTCTTATGAAAATCCTTGTCTTTCTGCGTGGTATGCCTGTTTGGCGGCCACGAATCTGCTTTCTCCCGACACATAACAGAGAAACTGCCAAGGTATGAGTTCTGTCTCCTATCGATACTATGGTGGGCCACGCTGGAGGCAGCAGGTCGGTGAGATTACTAATAACGACACATTACAAGCCCCCTGTCTGGGCTAAATAGTGACTGCAGAGGTGCATTTCCGCGCACCAAGTCCCTATTCTAGAGGGGACTCTGACTGGATTTGCGACCGCAGAATGGATCGCTCATCAGTCATTGCTCTGGAGGTGGTTGGAAGGTAGTGGGTTGCCCATGCATGGCGGTGCGTATGGGAAGTGATGCTGTGCTTATTTAATTAGCTTTCTTGTTGGTGGAGGCTACACCCGCACTGTGTAGTGTGCGGGCTAAAGGAGGAAATCTGGCGTGCACACATACGACACTTTCTTTGGTATTTCTAGGCTTGGGATCTCACGGACAGGAGTGAACTTTCATTTCTTCACATTCAAGGCTTACTGCAGTGAACGGCGGTCCGTTCGCTGTAGTGAACCTGGAGGCATCCTTCAGTGATTACTTCCTCTGAGCAGGAGAGGCATCATGCAAGGAAGTCACCGTCCTTTTTCAACCACTGTTGCTTGCACGTTGAAGCAGACATGAAGGGTGTGCCTCTGGCGAATCTGAGCTTCACGCATTGCATTGTGCCTTTGTTTTGGGCGCCCACATCTGACTCAGGATGGCCACATGACGGGAATGTCGTTGTCGAGCAACGGGGATGTCGTTGGCAAATGGGTCTTATTTTTGTGGGGGCTCTTGAGCTGCTTTGCACCACCAAAGTGCAGGACAGCACCATGCTGGGCCTTGGTGGCCGTTCCCGTGCATGGGGAAAAGCAAAGGCTTGTGGTTGATTTTGGCGAACGAGCATATTGCGGAGCACTTTCACCGCAAGAGTGTCAACTCCATGCTATCAGTTTGTTGAACATGGTGCATAAGCACTACCTAGAATCTCTAAACATGCTTCAACTCGGTCGATCAATGATTCAAGGGTGAGAACGCGAGACTGCTGGCAATAAAGAGATGGCATTGTGAGCATGGCCATGATGTCGGTGCCATTCTGTAAGGCTTCTGTAAAACTTTCCGGGCTTCAAAAAACTATAGCGCTCACATGTTGATGTCCTATGCAGATGCAACATTTTATTGCTGTCATGCAATGATCATTCACTCAGCATCAGAGGCTCCAGACTGTGTTCAGCATGACCCCACAGCAGTTCATCGCAAGTCTAACATAATCCGGCATATCGAAGCACATATGGTCCAGTTCATTTGGCGCAGCAAGGACAAAGCAGTATGCATGAGGTATCTTTATAGCAAGAGAAATGGCAGACATGAAGACAGAGCAAGCGCCAATGCCGGATGAAAAACTTGCCCGGGCCCTCTCAATTTCGCAGGCTTGCATTTGCAGCACTCTGCACCCATTCAAAGACCAACGTCATGGTGAGGACGACAACACGCAGTAGTGCAGGGCAGCAGATCTGGTGGAGGTCTAGACCCTTTTGCATGCAATCCCGCATGAGTAGGCACCCTGGTTTGGCAGTCACAAATGGGTGCCGCAAGGCTCAGGTGTCCTCTTTGCGGGTGATGGTGCCAGTGGACAAGTCCAGGTGCGCCGCTGCAGACAGGTCCAGGTGCTCCAGGCGGCAGGTGCCCAGCAGCCGCTCAGGCAGCTCCTCCTGTTCACGCACACCCTCATCAACACCCTGTCAGCCGCACGCATCTGACCATACCAGCATCCTTGCAGCACCGTGACATCGTTTGCACCATCATGCGGAGTGCCGGACGCTGCTCGCCACTCCCTGAGATTCCGGCTGCACACCAGCAGTGTGCGCCAAGGCATGCAAACCATTCCACTGATTTGTCCATCCGAGGGACATCCGGAAAGCAAATGGGGACACGTGACTTTTTGAGAGGGGGTAAGCGCAAGACAGGGGGAAGAAAGAGGGGTTGCGCAGGGGGCGCGCACCGTGCAGTGGCCCTCCAGGAGGACGGCGAGGTCGATGACGAGGGATTTGAGGGCGCCCTGCACCAGTCCCACCACGTTGGCCGCACTGCGCGAGCTGCCCACGTCCACATCCACCTCTATGTAATTCGCACCCCTGCGCCAGCGCCCCCCGCTTCACTCGCCATCCCACTCATGACTTTTCCCAGACAAGGCTGGCTGTTCTGCTTGCCTTCCCAGCCGCAGAAGCCTATAGTGTGTCTCGGGCAAATAGCATTTGCATGTCACGCGCGCAGAGACTGCAGGAGCGAGTAGCAGCAGGTGTCAATCTTGCGGAGTAAGGCAGGTGAAACCTATGACCGATCAATGTCATGGCACCTGAACGGCGCAACATTCGCACAGTCACCCAATTGCTCCTGTGGAAGGACATGGCACTGCCTCAGGAGTGCGTGGGATGACCGTGCACATGTCACACCACTCTCCACGAGGAGACTTTGCCACAGTCAAAAAGACCCCGTCTATTGGGGTCTGTATTGCGCAGGTCCTCACCGGAAGTACTTGGTGGTGAGCTTGCGGCCGAGGAGGACGGGCGTGTTTTGGCCGACGGCCTGCTTGACGACCCAGGAGCCCTCGGTGATGCGCGGGATTATCTTGAACGCGCCGTGACGCACCTTCTCCACATCCTTCTCATCCCCCCCAGCCTCCAGGAACCTGCGTGAGCACCATGCTTACATGGTCATGCAACGGCAACACGGCAGATGTTTGACGGCTTGGATGCATACTTATGGACACATTGCGCAGCACTGACAGGCAGAAGGACAGACAAGTTTTATGCCTAGCTCCTGACCAGGTCTAATGACATCACCACCCCAAAGCTGTGCAACTTCATAAAGTTCTTGAACAAGCTCTGAAGAGTTGGCAGTCGGACTTGGGTCAGCAGAAGACTGGGATCTTGCATGTGCTTAGGCCACAACGAAGAATTCCAGAGCTAGCCGTTGCCTCTACTTGCGTCAACACTAAACACACAGAGACGGATCACTCTGCACGGGCAGCCAGGCAGGTGCAACGCCAGGCGCACCGCATCATGGTGACGTCGAAGGGGTCGCAGGCTGTGTAGGGGTTGGGCCCCTGGGGCTGCTCGGGCTCGGGGGCGGCGGCGCGGCCCCACAGGGAACGCCTCATCGGCGTGGAGGGCTGCGAGGGCGGCTGCAGCGGCTTGGGCGGCGACCCGTCCAGCACTGTCTGCGAACGCTTGTGCCTCTTACCCATCTGCGGCACGTCCTGTGGCGCAGTGCAGGCAGACACGTTCCCTCGATGGCAGTACACACATGTCCAGTACTTCTCACTCAGTCATCACTCTTTTGTGCTGCTCACAAGACCCTGCTCAGCAACGGGTGACAAGGGAGAGCGGCGGCTGCACAGTGAGATCTGTACAGTGAGGCCAGGACAGACCGCGTTCAACGTGATGGAACAGAGAGATGGGTGCTGCAAAGTGTGGTTGAAACCCTCATGTTAAGCGAGACAAACCAAGCCAGGGCAGAGACAATGAGGGCCACACCGGCTTGAGGGCGCTGAGGCTCTTGGAGGAGCGCTCGATCTGCTGCTCTGAGAAGCCCTCATCCGTGGCAAAGCTGGCACCAGAGCCTGCGGACGTCTCGGGATCCAGGCCTCCAGCCGCCTCCACCTGGGCCCAGACATGACCCAAACATCACCACCACCCTGCTTGCTGCGCATGCATTTGACAGTCCCCATCCTTACCAGATGATCCTGCATGAGTGCTTTGCCACGTACTGTGACTGACGTCAAGTCATCCCTAAGGCCGCTAACAACAAGCCCAGCAGGCATCAACAACAGTGAATCTTGACGGAAATGCATACCCAAAGGAAGGTACAGAGCAGCTCTCCATGCAAGCAGGAAAGGACATGAACGCACCTGAGTGGCATCCTGCGCTGAGGCTGACCGCCGGATCTTTAGGCTTTTCCGCTTCTTGAGCATGACCGTGCCATCCACCTCTGCGCTGCCGGCCGCCGCAGGTGTATCCCCCGCAGCCGCCCCCTCCTCGGCTGCTGCCAGAGTCTGCCTCACCCTCTCCACCGGGTCATGATCCAGCGCCCACGCGATTGCCAGGGAGTAATTCTGCTTACCGGGCACCAGCACCTGACGCCAAAGCACGAAAGCCCATTTTCAGATTTTGCAAGCAAGGTGGCAAAGAGCAAGTTGAACATTGTCACAGCCAGCATGCAACAACCTCTTCTCACGCATCAAAAGGAAGGTCCGAAAGGCATTGTCCGAACCAAGTAGCAGTAGCGATGACCCAAATGGCCCATAATGCATGATGTGGATGTAGGGATCAAGGCGGGAGAGTGCGCACATGCCAGATGAAGAGCAGGGGCGCCTTGGAGTCGCGGACGGAGGGCAGGAAGCGCGCGATGTGGAAGGTCGGCTCGGCCAGCGACACCAGGTTCAGGCTGACCAAGCTGCACACAGGAGCATCCGGCAACACCTGCAGCAGTCGTTTGTGCGGTGAGGCACCATGCTCTTCTGCTGTGAACCCATTCAATCACATGGATTGATGTGCCCCATTTGTTGTTCCCTCCTCACAACCTGGACACACACCCAGATGGATGCTGTGCATATGTGCAAAGGAGAGGGAGGTGAAAACAGGCACAAACCTTCTTCTTGTCCTGCAGGTAAGTCGGCCCGCGCACTTTGAAGTCGGCAGCGCCTGGGCAGCTGAACATTGCGGTGGGGATGCTGTCCGACACGGGGCAGCCGCTCGCGCATGCGGTCCCACAGGAACCCCCCTCAGACACTGCCGCCAGGCCACCGCTGGCTCCCCGGTTCCCCCCGCCGGACCACCCCGTTGCACCACCGCTGCCGCCACCGCTGGGGGAGCGCAATGCCGAGAAGGCCCCGCTGATGCTCTGTGCCAGGTTGAGTGCGCGCACCTCACCTCCGCTCTTCACCGCCTCCGCGCGTGTCGCCAGGCTCGAAGACACCTGTGAAACGGGGCATTGTGTCGCTTTTTTAAGAAGTTACTTTGCCATGCGGTCACAAATGCACGTGCTAGAGGTTCTGAGAAAGCGTCCAGCAATGTGGACGGCAGAGAATCAGAATATAAAAGCACCAGGGGGGCCAGGCGAAGAGACATGTGCAAGGTTCCAAGGACCAGTACAGAGTTCCCATCCTGAGTGCAGAAGAGGATCCAGAGCAGGACAGTACACCACGGAACGCAGGGCAGGACAGAACAGAATGCCAGAACAGTGCAGCACAGAACAGAGATCGGTACAGTACGGACCTTCGGTGATTTGCTGGAACCCATGCCCAGCAACCACACTAACCAGTCCCATACCCGCGTGAGCAGCCGTTGCGCCTGCCTCACCGCTGTCTGCAGAAGCTCTGTTGACGGATGCGGGCCCTCCTCTCGAGCGCTGCTGTCCAAGTAGTTATCAACCTGGAACACGCCGTCACCAGTCCATCCCAAATGAGTAAGAAAGAATTTTTTGACCTCAGCTGAGAATCAGCTTGTCTGGCAAGGTAGATGATACGCTGAAACAGAGACCACTGTCTCAAGTGTACCCTGCAACTTCTTGAGCAAGGGTGGCGGCCACTCATGCAGAGGCAATCTCAGAGCAATCCGCACCTTGCCCAGAAGCTGGCGGGCCTGTGCCACATTACCCCTCCCTTGGCTCTGCACCGAGGGCTCTGCGAAAGCCGACTCCACAGGCCCGTTGGAGCCGCCTGAGGCTGCTGCAGCAGTTGCGGCCCTCAGCTCCTCCTGTGCATGCTGCATGCCTTCTGAGCCCTCCCCCTCCCGGCGCTCAGACTCCCCTGTTGAAGCCACGAATGCAGCGGCTGCTTGCGGCGGCAGAGGGTACTCCATCTTCTCAAAGCACTCCACGCATGCGAGCCTCTGCGCCAGGTCAGCCACCTGCCGCAGACAGTCTTAGCTGCACACAGCACAAAACAGAGCAGTACCTTTTGCAAGTATGCCTCAACACAGCAAAGGCCATCTTGCTGATTGCATGCTTAAAAGATTGCAGTGGCGCGCATTTTGAGCCCCTGACTGAGCGCTTGTTGCATGCCCATGCCTCCCGAAATTGCCACGCAGGGGCTTCTTTGAGCGTACCTCTGTGCTGCCGCTGTGCAGGGAGAAACTCAACAGCAGCGCGCCAAAGGTGGTGTATCCCAGGAAGGGCAGCAGCAGGAAACCAGCAAGTGGTTCGACGGCATGAAATTGCAGACCGACCAATATCGTCATGCCCAGGACAACTGCAAGCATTACACATGCAATCTTCACTGTGCTTTATAATTGCTGCTAAGACGATCCAATTGTACACATACATGAGGAGGTGCTGGAAGTAAGCATGGGCCACGTGCCTGCAGCGTCCACGGCTGCATAAAGCTGGTTGCCTGGAACAAGCGCTGGGGGCCAAGCCAGGTAAACGGCAACCAGCAGAGCCCCATAGAGAGCCAATGGCACGCTCTGAGCTGCAAAGCCCCCGTGGCACCACACCAGCCAGGATGCCAAGCCCAAGGCAGCATACACAGCACTCCATGGGCTCAGAAGACTGGTGTGCGGCCTCCAACGGCTAGATGACTTGTATGGCAAGCATTCCCTTTCCACCTCCCACCTGTCACAGAAAGCTATGACTCAGCGTGCCCATGGCATTGGCTCAGTATTCCAAGAGGGGTTGAAGGCAGCATGACGAACGTATTGAAACTTCGCACACCTCCACAGCTGAGTTTTCGATTTGTTCACAAGCTGCTTCTTCACCAAGTGCCCCAAAAAGGGGACGCTGACGCTGAACGCCTGCACAGCAACATGTAGACTTGACAAGGTTGGACGCAATTATATCGGATGTAGACACCGCACATCTGATACCCACTATAGAGTATCACCAAGGTTTTGTGCCCTGTTAGCTATCTAACAGGTCACATGCAGCTGGTGTTGCAGGGCAAAGGAGGTAGCATGCCACAAGGCATCATCCTCAGCACCGCAACATCGTCAGCAGATGTGTCATCATCAGCAACAGTTAGGACACCATAAGATATCATACTAAGAGTAAATCACACTGGGGGCGACGCACCAACGAAAATATGTCAACAAGCATCACATCGGCCTCTTTTCACTCGCTGAAAAAGATTTGGGAAAGCACTATATTCTAGTCCCTGTCCCTGAGTTGTCCTTTGTTGTTCCGTGCAGCACATGCATGCACTCATACCCTTTCACCGTTGCAAAATGCGATTAGCTTCCGTTCGATTCTCCTCCTCATTCCAAGCTCCCTGATGACTCATCACGGAGTCCAAGAAAGGACGGCATCGTTGAAGCATGCACAGAGCATGTCCCCACACTCTGTATTGCTTTTCAGCGGTACAAGCTCATGCATTTGTGATTCTGATCTGCACTTTTGAGTAAGAGACGTCTAGTAGACAGCACGTCTACTCTGTCGAAATGTCGCACCCAGGTGTCGGCAGGACCTTCACTCTGAATAGTGGCGCCAGCATACCCACTGTAGGATTGGGAATTTTCCTTTCTAGACCTGGATCTGAGTGTTTCAACTCTGTATTGAGCGGTCTTCGCTTGGGATACAGGTTTGGCCCAAGTTGCTGAATACTATGCAGTCAGGAGCGATGCTGCGTATCCTCGAAAAATTAGCACTTCAATATGACAATATGGTGAATTTCGAAGTGTTCCAATTGCAGGCATATCGATACAGCGCGCTACTACAGAAATGAGGCAGATGTGGGCAAAGCAGTCAAGCAGAGTGGCGTGCCTCGTGAAGATATATTTCTGACGTCTAAGCTCTGGTTGAGCGATTTTGGATACAACAATGCTCGAAAGGTGCAGCTGTTGTGGACCTTCTGAAGATGGTGTGGTGTCTCGTCGGGAGTGGGTTATTCCACTCAATCATCATGACCGTGTGCAGGCAATTGACCAAAGCTTAAAGGCTCTGTCAACCTCAAGAGTGGACCTCATGCTGATGCATGCCCCTGGCGATCCCGACGTCCGCGAAGAGACCTGGAGAGCACTTGAGGATGCACATAAAGAGGTTACCGTTGTCACCTTGCTAAATCGCTTTTAGATTCCCCAGGCTAATCAGTAGGGGCATGTCAAAAGGCAAGCAATCGTGTTGACGTCTTCTCTGGACCCTCAGGGCAAGCTCACAAGCATTGGAGTGTCCAATTTTGGGATTGGCCATCTGGAGAAACTGCTGAAGACAGCCAGGGTGAAGCCAGCAGTGAACCAGATCGAGCTGACGCCATTCCTGCAGCGCCGCAAACTTGTGGATTACTGCAAAGGTCAGGGCATCACACTGGAGGTGAGCTAATTTAACAAAGCTGTCCTATATGCCAGGAAGGCCCTTGAAAGGTTTTGCAGATATGACGTGCATAAAGCTGCCGACACATGGCCTCACAGGTGCAGAATTAACAAAAGAAACGAGGCTCAATAGTGCAGTAGGAGTGCAAGAATTATTTGCTGTTTTGAGCCCATTCAATGAAATTTAAGATTTTCTCTGACTCAAGAAATCCTCAGACCTCAGTACACAGAGATGACGGTTGAGTTTTGCATGGATCTGTGCAGGCCTACTCTCCGCTGGGAAAGGGCAGCAGCGAGATCTTGGACGACGGGACAGTCACAAAAGTAGCAGGGAAGCACGGAGTGTCAAACGCGCAGGTCTTGATCAGATGGAGCCTGCAGCATGGATTCATACCCCTGCCAAAGTCCTCGAAGCCCGAGCGCCAGAAGAGCAACCTGGATGTGTTTGGCTTTGAGCTTGACAGTGCTGACATGCAACAGCTGGACAGCCTGGATAGGAACCTTGTCACAGCTTGGGATCCCACCACAGACCCTGTGTGATGCATGACTGGCGTGAGGCTTGGGCAAATGAAGCCTCAGCCTTCGTGCCTTGTCCTGAATGCATGCACTTGCTGCTGCGGAGACCTGCGAACCTCATTGGCATGCCCTAGGTGTAGCACTACAGTACCAGCCTACTGAGTACACTCGGGGTTTTGACACGTACACACATGAGAAGCCGATACACTGACCGGAGTCCAACATCCTCTGTCAGCCTCTTAGGAACGTAGGTGCGGGAATGCATGATAATGATCTCAGATAGATAATGCAGACATGGAAGTTGATAGATACGGATGCCTGCATGCGTTAGAATCCTTCCATGGCATGGCATGACATATGGCAGACCTCGGACCAGGTGATTGCTTGTCAGTGACCATATATCTGTTTTACACATGTCCCAAGCTATGTATATTCCTGCCGTTTCAAGTAGCAAGCTACGAACTACAGCTACACTTGTGTCAAATGAAGCTGAGATGTCTTCAAAAACCGGAATGCCCGTGCACATTGGCACAAGCTTGAAGGAACAAAAACAAACCAATAGTTTTCTTTTGCTGCATCTCAGCAGACCTCTAGAGATTTTGCACCAACCTTATTCAAGCATTTTGCACTGTACAAATACATGATTCACCTACCGCCTTTGCCATTGAAAATTGCGGCAGTGCGCAGCAGAGTTGCACTTGCGCTAAGATTGTACGAGCTTGCAGCAGCGACTAGTGTCTACAGCCCCAATAATATACACACAACCCAAGATGCAATTTCAGCAGGATCTCAAACAAGTGTGGCATCATTCCTTCGTGGGCACAAGTGCTGCTGTCCCCCAGGAATGTACCGTAGCAGAAATTTACAAATGGGTCTCACCAAAGCCTGGACATCACATTCTCACAGTATTGGGATCTCCAAGATCTTCTTGAAAATTCATAAGCTTACTGCCAATTGCAGGCCTTCTCAGGAGACCACTTCTGCCTTTACTGAAGCACAAATTGGAGCACGTGCGCCAGGACACTTTCCAGTCTGCGGTGGCCACTGCATGACTCATGCAGAGAACCTGACCCGCTTGATGGAATCTCCCGCACGAGCTCGGTCTCGGCCCTGCCATCACAAAGGAACTGTCAAAGTGTGTATCTCATACACCCTTGTACCTTCTACCTCACTGCCCCTGTCAGCCTCCCCTGGCCGCGGCCGGCTCTGGCAGAACATTGCATTATTCTTGGAGAGCTTCAATGCATGGAATGACACTCCCATTTGCCATGACTCTAGTGGAGAGGGGTCTTCAGAGACAGAAGCAATGCAGGATGTGGGGAGGGCGGCAGAAACACACCTGGGACTTCTCCTGGGCTGAGTCTGGGGTGGGGGAGCCAGTGAGGTCTATGAGGTCGGCCTGCGCCCTGCCCAGCTGCCACACCGGGCTAGCATGTTGCGGCGCTGCCCTCTCCGGCCGCAGAGTGGACTTTCCCTGCAACAATACCCAGATTCATCATGCAATGCATGAACAGACCAATACTGCAGGGCTGCCACAAACCTGAGGACACAAACTACCCCTCTGCACTAGCCCAAGCAAGCACAAAATGGCTTGACATAGCATCCCAACTGCCCATTTGGAAGTTTAATTTCTGTCAACAAGCTGTAGAGGCTGTGCAAGGGCTGCATGCAGGGGGCAGGTATGCAAGGGGTGGCTCAAGGGGGAAAAGCTGACCCCATAGGGGGCGATGTAGCCGGTGGAGAATTGGAGGCTGCCAAGGAGGTCGTTCTCGATGAGCTGGTAGAGGTTGACGAGGCGCTTATCGATGTTGATGGTGGAATTTATGACCTGCAGCCGCAGCTGCTCCTCCACCTTCTCTATGCGCTCCGGGCCCATCTCCACCAGTCCACTCAACCGCTCAACCTGCGCAGCATGTCACTTGTTCAAGCTATCAAGCTTAGCCCTGTTTGAAGCTAAAATGTATCCACGATCAAACAGATGAAACATCCGCTCCGCCTGCTAGAACGCCACAGGGGCCATATCAAATGTTTTCAAGTCCTCTGTTTGCTTATGATTGAAATTGTTTGTATTCAGATTCTATGGTGCTGCAGCGAACATCGAGCAAATGACTGGATCTAAACATTCTTGAGGTTGGCATGCTGCTCCCTGTCTGCCCAGGGAAGGGTTTGAAGATGTAGGCATGCGGATGTAAGCAAAACTAAGATTCGAGCTCCCTTAGAATCACTGCCCTTCACTGGGGTGACATGGACCCTGCACAAGTGCCCTATGCCCAAGCCTTGCAGACTACCTGTGCCTCAAAGAACATATAGGATCTCTGTGCACATCAATCATCTCAACGCTGTCACAGTGCAGATGGAAACTGCTAGTTCGGCTGCATGACAATGTCCGACCAGGGCACTAATGCAAGGTCCCTCCCAAAACGAGGCTACAGCGTCATTCTAAAGACAAGTTAAGCAAGCTGGTGTGACACCAATATAAAGCCCACCTCGACCTCGAGCTGCTGCTGCTGGTCCTCGAACAGGTTCTGGTTGATGGTGTTCTGCTCGGGAGTGATCTCCTCGCGGAACATGACGTTGCCAAACATGTAGTAGGCGTACGCGTACGAGTAGCCCAGCACCCGTCGCGCGTGGAACAGCTGCTCCTGAGCCTGCATCAAATGGACAAACACCTCAACACCACTTTATTATTACGTGCCATTCCTGCCAAGAGGCTAGGTGTGTGTGCAGACAAGCTGCGCTTGCACTGCCAAGACCCCACCCCTTGTCGGACTTGCCAGATCCAAGCAAGACCCAATCAATCATGGGCACGGTACTCAGTATTTGTATCGGCCCCCCGCCAGCTGAAGCCACTCCTCATTCTTCTTGAACGTATGACAATGCTTACTGATGTAAACAGTTCAATTGTGCAAGGCAGAGGCCCAGGGCTTCCCATGGAAGTGACAGCCAAAGGGCCAAGGTGAGTGGGCGCAAGCGGCAGCAGTGCAGTATGCAGCCATTGCTGAAGCAGTGAGATCTGCTGCAGGAACAGCGGCAACACCCCCACTGCAGCTAGATCCCGGCGATGTCCTTTGCACCAGTGCCTTAATCTTTGCATTGCAGAGAAAGGTACAGAACGAGTGCTCGATGTGAAAGGTACAAAAAAGAGGTGACACATCGTTCCATCACCAATGCGTACTCGCTAATTTGATGCTGACAGTGGAGGTAAAGGTAGGAACCTGGGAGAGCCAGGAGTAGTCCTTGAGGAGGGAGGTGTTCTCCTCCAGTGCCACAATCTTCTCCTGGATGCTCCTGCGCGTCTGCGCCTCTGCCTTGGACGACTTCATGTGCGCTTCCCTGCCCACACATGCATGCTAAGCCCGTTTCTCGCACATTTCATGTATTTTTGCACATGCTCTTTCTGCCAGAGGCAAGGTGCTTCTGCAGGTAAGCTGCAGGTAAAGGCTACCATATACCCTACCCCTTGGATGACACCTGGCAGCTGCAATCCAAGCCATGGCCAAGGTTCACGCATGCCATGGGTATCCCAAATCCCCACAACCAATCCTGTCACCAGGAAATGGCCTCACGCATGTGCCGGCTTGCAATGTCGCACACGGTGACTTCTTGGGATCATCAGTGCAACCAAGCTGTGTACCAAGGCGCATCAACAATGCACAAGTAGACATGGTCCGCACATGGATCTTGTATCACGTTTGAGTCACTTTCATTCATCGGCTTGTAGAATTTCTAGTGTTCCGAGCTTCCCAGCCTCAATTTCTCAATGTCGATTTGGGCAGGCCATATCCTGGCCCCCTGACATTGGCGAGCACCTCCCCAGAATTGGGGGAACTAATCAGGCGTTGTGACAGCATGTGGGGGCGGCGCACCAGCGAGTGTAGTAGTGCATGTAGCGCTTGACGTTGCGCTGGGCCTCGCCGATGCGGCGATCGACGTCCTCCTTGTAGCGGCCGCACGAGTGGCCAGATATCTCCGTCCACGTGTGCGACATCCCCGTTGCAGCCCCACACAGCCAGCAGAACGCCTGCACATGCCATGGGCGCCATTTCAGTGCATCTGACACCATCAGGTTTGACCCGGTTTTACCTGTTTCCATGCAGCGCAAAGTGACACCTTGCTTGCTCCGGCTGTACATCGATGTGAAAATTTGGAAAACTGAGCGCCGTACAGCTGCCAATCTCTCACTGCCGGGCTCATCAAGAAGAGAGTCCTACCAGTCCCTCATTGATGCTGCGCCAAAGGCTTGGGAGCACCACCATTGAGGCTGGGCTGGACCGCCCTCTTGGACAGGTCAGCACAAGGTCAACCATCTAAGCAAAATGGCAGACCTGGCGGCAGGTGCACATGACGAGGTTGCAGCCGCCGTTTTTCTCCACGGGCTTGCCGCACTTGGGGCAGGGCTTGGTGTTGGCCGTCAGCCAGTTCTTTGTCTCACTGTCGTCGTGGCACTTCTCCTTCCACTGCTTCCACCTGCACGCACATGTGCGCTATCACAGGCAGCATGTGCGGGTTGCCTTCAAAGATATTGATAAAAAATCAATACCTGCAATCTGTCAGGATTCGGCGCCTGTGTGGCACATGGGGAACAAGTAATCATAAGGAAAGCTTTGGGGAATGCAGTGCAGAGCCTGGCATGACTGGTAATGGTAATGGTAATGGAACGTTCACGAAGTACAGAGTCATGTAATGGCTGAACATCTGATAGACCAAAAAATTTTTTAGCTCCGCTCACCTCATGGCTGGGCGCGTCGAGAACATTCCACGGAATCGTCACCACCACCGCCAAGCAATGTAAAAATACATGCCAACAACTGGGCAGTCGTGTGCCAGGCTTAAAAACCTGTCCTTTTCACAATCCCCCCTCTCTGTCAGCATTATGTGCCCTTGGTGCTTACATGGCCTGGTAAAATGGGGGATTTAGAGCGCACATGTCGCAGGTGCAGGGGGAGTGGGGGTCCTCGCCGCAGGCAAAGCAGAAGCGCAGGCCGCAGGTGCACTCTGGCTCGCAGTGCAACTCGCCCTCCACTCGGATGGCGCGGCCGCAGTGGGGCACGCTCGGGCACCAGCGCACCAGCGCGTTGTCCTGCCACAGCGCACCGCCGCAATCAGCGCCGACAAGTTAATTCCGGAATATGACTTTGAATACAATAAAACCCTCCAACCATGTATGGACCAATGATGGACCCCTAGAAACAGCACAGCATGGAGTACGAGAGCCTATTTAGACTTTGAACCCCTTGAGCGCAGCCCGGCAGAGATGCAGATGCAGGCGTCTACAGGTGAATTTGCATTGTGCTCGGCAACTGGAACCTGCACAAGGCCATGCCTCTGCCAAGTATGTGTTCTTAGCTAGCAATTGGAAGGGTTGTCAAATGCGTGCAGTCTTTGGAAGTTTGCTATGAAGCAGGGGTAAGGGCTGGGTGCTGACCTCCACATAGGATTCCAGCAGGCTGCGGTCAAATTTGGCAAGCAGGTCCGGGTCATCACCGATGAGCTGCCGCACCTGGAATGAAACATCGCACAGTCCTCAGGCACCTTTCCAGATTGACCAGCCGCACACTTACTTGGCTGCAACGACATGTCCATAACAGTGCTGCCACCTCTGTGGCTGTCAAAGCTGTTAGGATGACAGGTCATGAGAAAGAAGGGGAATACTGCCAAATTTATCTGTGCATGGTGGTTATGGATGGTGGCTGCTCGACAAGCAAGGTAGTCTGGCAAAATTCATTGGTGGGCCCAGGACGCCACAACCTTGCTGCAAAGCCCTCTGCATCTTCGCATTATTCTCGTCTCGTCCTGTCCTTGGAGCAGAAGCGGGTTACCTTCTCCTCGTCACATGCAGCGCCGCACTTGACCCCCATGCAGGGCAGCTTGCGACTCCTGCCGTCCTTGATCTGCACCCTGCAGTGCTGGCTCCAGCAGTCGTTGCAGAAGATGTGCCCGCACCCCATGTCTGTTGTCTCCTTGCGCGGCACATCACAGAAGCAGCAGCCGCAGGCCACCTCCTCCCATGAGCCTGCCACAAGGACATAAAGCCGATGTCAATTCAAACACCGTTATGTACCATACCATGGACGAGCAAGGTGAAGTTGGTACGTTGCTTGCCTGAGCAAGAAGGGCCATCAGTAGAGCGCGATGTCACAGAGGCCAGTTTGTAGAGCTCGTCCTTTTCCCTCTCTGCCAAGACACCTACATGCACGCGCTGATCTGAGAACTTGAACCAACAGCAAGTCAAGGTCAACTCAGCAGATGGCATCGACGTTGATTTCTAGCAGCCCCTTTCTAAAGTGCCCCTTTCTAAAGTGCCAATCCTCACCAAAGAGAGTCTCGGTGCTCCACCGGAAGTGCATCAAGAGCGTCCTGGCAGTTGACTTGGAGCAGCCCATGATGCCCATCACGTCCTGCAGGGCATTCTCCTGCACTCCCAAGCCCATGTCTTGAAGAAAGGATGGCATGCAAGCAAGCAACAATACAAGATCGGATGCAAACCCTTCAAGAGATGCCTCGGCGATGATTCGCGCGTGCTAGTACAAGAAGAGATTCACGAGTAGCTCAGTGCCATGCGCGCTGTGTCACCCATGCAGATGCCACGCAGGCTATCACCTGGACAGTAGCGATGTCGCTGGCATCTATGATGTACCAATTTGCCTCCGACTCCCCCTGAACTTGTTTCCCTTCCTCACTTTCTGAGTAGTATCCTAGATCGTAATCTGATTGCCCGTCTAGGGAATAATCCTCGCTCTCACAGCTGGACATCGAGATGATCTGCTTCCGATCTCTTTATTACTGGTCTGATCTGCTGTTCAGGAAAGAGTGATTCCCGTTGACATAGGAGACCCCAATGCTGGATGAGCAGAGTCGGGTCAACGCATTGCAACAATGCCCTCCAGCCTGGTCAATCCTTTGGAAGGGAAGTCATAGAATTGGCTTAGATCTTTCGCCAAGAACGGGTGTTGTGTTGCAAGTAAAATTCCCCGACAAGCTGATCACCAAGGAGGGGAGCCTGCCCTCTGCAGCGGTGCTGCTGCTGACGCGATCAGCGGATCAAACAGATGTCCCAATGACAACACCACAGATTGGGCAGTAAAATTTGTGTGTGTCAGTGGGATTCGACTCTACGGTCGGGAAGTCAATACTCGAGGAAACCCTTGCTTGAGGAACTCTAAAACCCTGAATCAGGAAGCAACGCTCATCTCATGCGGGATTCACAATTAGAAGCTGCAACGCTTCGCAAATCCTGCTTGCCTTGCTCTACCTGTCTTTGAAAGCGCTTTTGCAATTTGGAAGAGACGGTCGGATGGACAAGTCAAGCACGTGCATGTTAATGATCATAATCATGATGGCCAGGAGATGCAACATGAGAGAGATCTGCATGTCTTTAGGCAACTTTAGGAGATTTGTTTCCCTGTTTGGGATGGACCATGGACCATGGTGGCCACCAGCCAAAAGGGATCTTTAACACCAGCCTCAGAAACACAGAAAGCCCTCACACCCCCGACAACACTCGAGAGACGTGCAGCTCAGGATTCTGTGGCCTCATGACTAGCTCATCCACACACTTGCACGGCCAGTGAGCAGCTGTGCAGTGCAGGTACTGCTGGCTGGCCTCACACAATAGAAGGCTGATTGATGACTCGCAAGGAAGCAACAGCCACACACTATGGGATGTGCATGTGCAGATCACACCATAGGGACTGCTGCTGATATGTTCACAAGCCTGATATTCCCAAGGAAAGAAAACGTCCAATTCTGCCCAATCCTGTCTCTGGCCATTGTACCTCCCATGGATCAAGGATGCAGCGACCATGCGTCTCTACTCTATACCTGAACGTTTGGTGCTGCCACTTCAATGGCACGAGGTCTTGGGCCATTCACATCCTGGGCAATGTCTTCCGCTACATTCCCCAAGACTGCTGAACAAAACTTACAGACCCACAAGCTCGGAAAATATGGCAGCACACCTATCAACTCATCTTATCGGGTGTCTGCGCATCATTGCGGCGCAAAATATCGTGCCCCCACCCCTGCCACTAATCCTCCTTCTAACAGTGCAACAATGAATCAGGCATACTTTCTGAATGCCGCCCGGCTCCCCGGGACAGGGCAGCACTCTTGGGGCGGAAGTTAAAGATCCGCGGACAGTTGTGGCATTTTCCTCAAGGGCACCGGGTAAGTGTACATGATTGTGCAGCATATCAGGAGGAGCCAACTGCGAGTGGCATCCCTGGCTGCTCACGGATCCTTATGCAGACAACAAATGGACATCTACACCTCTTGCGCTGTTGACAAGCGCCCTCCAGCCGAGGGTCGCCAGCGCAGACATGCCGGGACGCGGCGCGCGCGCGCGCGCGCGCGCGCCGGCAGCTACCGGGCAGCCGCCTCGCAGCTGCGGGGCGGCCCCCACAGGGCCCCCTTAAATGGCGGGGGTCACAAGGGCGGCGGGATGGGAATGCGCACGTCCGACTTGGCTTTGCTAGAGCTGTCACGCGATCGCGAGGACGACAGCGTCTGCGACAGCCGCTCCCGAAAAGCTCAGCCGCTCGCGCGACAGCCGGTCCTGCTCCCGCAGCGCGCTCAGGGAGATCGGCGCCTCCCCGCTCATCAGCTCCCGCACCCCCCTGCCGTTGCTGCGCACCAGCCGATTTCCGTTCACCTCTCTGCAACACTTTTTTGGCAGACAGGGGTCCAAATCCCTTGATACCCAGCACCTCATGCCGATTGAGCTGGCTGCTACTTCCAGCCAACCTCACCGTGCTCAGGCACGCTGTCATGCTCAGGAATGGCCAGCATGCAGAAATGAGGGCACCGTCATCAGACAAGGACCACCAGAACACAGGGGTCTAACATGTCTAACAGGGTGTCACACACACTGAACCCCCGAGCGGAGGCACAGCAGGGCTGCGCGGAAAAGCTCACAGCAGGGTCCTGATGATGCGCGCACCTGTCGGCGAGGTGCTGGCCGGAGATGTGGCCGGAGACGGAGAGGGAGGAGGAGCGGTTGGAGATGGTGCGTGCCATGGTGGAGGAGCCGGCCAGGCGGTTGACGAGGTCCTTGGCGCTCGGCCGCTCGTCCGGCTCCACCTGCAGGCATTCGCGCACCAGCTGCTTCTCCTCATACGTGCAGTCCTCCGGCACCCTGCAGCCACAACACACAGCTCAGCACATGCCTGACTTATAGAAATCTAATAATGGTAATCCTGAAGAACAGAATACACAGCCACGCAATCCAACCGGTATTAAGCGATGCTACTAAATCTGTCCAGCAAGCACCCTACGGCTCCTTCAATTGCCAGCTTGCAGGAGAAACAGACAAGGCTTTGCTGATCTGCAAATCTGTCCCGTGGTGATGGAAGCAAAGATCGTAGGTAGGAGGAGGATGGAGCTGACCTGAGCTCCCGCAGCTTTCCTCGCCGGGGGATCTCCTCTGTGATGAGCTCATGCAGCAGCACACCGAAGGACCTGCGCACAATAAAGCACTTCATGCTTTGGGCATGGCCTGTGCAGAAGTCATAATTACAAACTACACAAGTCCAATATGAACAGGCAGGGACACTGTGTTGCAATGCCTGCATCGATGTGGCTAGAGCTGCAATGAGGCATTGCACACCATGCAGAGGGTGAGAGGCATGGTGCAACAGGGCTTGAAGGAAGCGACGGCAGGCTCACCAGATGTCGGCCTTTTCGTTGCACTTATCGCCATTGATGAGCTCTGGGGCCGCGTACGCGAAAGTGCCTAGCGCATCCAGCTCTGCAATGTGCGACGCATGCACCACGTGTGCAAGGCCCACGTCTGCCACCTTTGCTGTTCCCTCCCTGCAGACACACAATCAGCCACCCGTCAACATCCCTCACTCCCCGTCCATTTCGTTGCATAATTCGTTTTACCAACTGCATCACCATGGTGCGAATAACTCCATTTAGGTAAAACAAGCTTCCTCTCTGCATTCTTGTCCGAGCAAGAGAACAGAACAAGGAGGCATATTGGGAGTTTGGTAAGGGCCGCACTTGGTGAGGAGGACGTTGGAGGCTTTGCAGTCGAGCCAGGCGATGCGCTTCCTGTGAAGGTAAGCCAGACCACGCGCCGAGTCTATCGCCACCTGCTTTCCCCTGCAGCACACAGAATCCCACGAATTCAGCACTGAACATCCGCATGCCCTCAGTCCTCACAGGTGGAGACGAGTTTAAAACTGCTCCACATGATCCGGCATTTGTAGATATTGAATATTAGGTGACTACCCACTACTCTACATCCAGTGAGTGCCCTGAGATGGACCCCGTATCTCCTTGCATTCTTGGCACCTTTCGTCATGTCCCCTAGATTATCAGGGGTTGTCACAACGAGAAGAGATGGGAGAGGGGCGCACTTTTCCCGCCAGGGCAGCTTGCCGCTGTGGATGAGATCCTGCGCGTTGGCGGCCATGAGCTCTGTGATGAGCATGGTGCAGCCAGGGTGCATGCAAGCGCCCAGGAACTGCACCACGTGCACGTTGCGGCAGTCCTTCAATATCGCAATCTGCGCCCAGCACACCACACAGCCTCAGAGACCCTGATTCAGACTGGCATGCAACTTTCATTCACTGTCCCTTGCGCTGCTAGTTCTTGTACTGTAGATCAAGCAAACCACTCTAGAAAATGCTATCCCAATCGGCAGTTCTCTCTGAGCAAATCGCAGAGGTCTGCCCAAGCATAGGGCTCGGGCCTTCTTGATGCATCACCACAGAGGAGATGATGAGGCTGAGGGTAAGATTGCAAGGGACGGTGGTGGTTTATTCACGCACCTCTCTGAGGAACCTGGCCTGCTGCTCCGCGCTCTGCCCCACCACCATCTTCACCGCCACGTCCTGCACCTCGTTCCACAGCCCCTTGTACACCTGCGCACACCCCCAACGCATACTGACTCAGACTCTTGCCATACATGACAGCCATTCACGCACACAGCAACTGGTCCAACAAGCAGGGATGCATGCATGCACCCGTGCTCTTTCCATTCAAGGCCCGGCCCCAGCTGAGCAGCAGGAGCATGCTCAAACAGCTGTTATGCATGCAGCAAAAATCACAATAACAAAATATAAGATCACAGGCAGAGGCAGACAGGGCAGAGATGCAGAAGGCACCCACAGCCAGCTATGCTGCAGGAGTAGTCCAGGGCTAGTGCTGCCAATATTGCAGTCCACATCATGGGTGTTGATATGTCAATTAAAATTCTACATAAGCTGGAGAGGGATAAGAGGGCAGGCCGTGCGTGCACCTTGCCGAAGGCGCCGGCGCCGAGTTCCCAGGGGGAGCCGTCCTCGCGGCGCATGATCTCGATGTCCATGGGCGCGATCTCCCAGTCGTTCTGGGCCATGAGGCTGGGCAGGCTGCCCGTGTCCCCGCTCAACCCCGTCTGCAGGCTGCCCATCGAGTACGTGCTGTCGCGGCTCATGTTGCTCGCCCGCGACATGTCCTCCGCCTGCAGCCAGCTCCCCTCGTCTCACTCCCCAAGTCAACGGGTGCAGGTGCAATGATTCCAGGACATGCAAGTGCCCAGAGCCAGCCAGTGCAAAGCAGGCTTGGCAGGCGTGTCTGGCCCGGTCACAGCAGCACAGAGAATGAATCAATGGGCGCCACTAATTTTGGAGGTGCTGGGCGCTCATGGTGCATTCACAGGTGTGCAGGCCACAAGCATTGTGCTTTGGCAGTACATAACCCGGCTACAAACCAAATGGGTGGCATGGCACTGTCAACTGATGTGCTTGCAGGTCCGCGCACCCCTGGTAAAAGGAAAACCATGACAGAGGGGCCCCACCGTGAGCTCGCCGCGCCGGCGAGAGACGAGCATCTTGTCGGAGTCCTTGTCCTTGAGCGTGACGCTGCCACCGTTGACAAACTTGTGGCGCAGCGAGTCCGGCGCGACGCGCGTTTTGAGCTCGTCATACATCCAGAACTCGTTGCTGTCCTGCGCCGCGTGGCTCGGCCGGTACCCGTCGCTGAACTTGCCCGCCGCTTCGGCCTCCGCAACCTTCCTCTCCGCCTCCGCCTTGGCCTCCCGGTTCAGCTTCAACAGCTCCAGGATCGTCACCGTCATGCACAGCGATATCGCTATCAGCCCAGCCGCCGCGATGCCTGCGTTCATCGACACGAGCATCATCAGCCTCTGCCACGTCTTAATGCCCAACCGTCCCTCCATTTGCCCAGTCTTCTGCCTTTGACACAGGCTTCAGGCCAACAGTCGGCAGCCGAAGAAAAGTGTCCAGTAGCCTGGCACAGCGAGGCAGCGCTTCTGCCGCCATGGGAGTGCAGCCTGAAGATGCAACTAGACTGGATGCCCGTGGTGGTCCAAAGGGTGATGTTTGTGGTCTTGAGGGACGGCAGAAAATGAGGGGGGACCCACCGATGCCCTTCCCAATGGTGGCCAGGTCCACTCCGCCCCCTCCGCCCCCGCCGCCACCGGAGGCGGCTGCCGCGGCCGCAGGGTCGGTCGCGGTGTTGTTGGGCGCCGACACTTGCATGCTCAGCAGCTTGATGCTCTTCAGATCCATGCCCTGATCGTGCGTATACGACTGCGCAGCCCAAGAACCCACTCAGCAGCCGCACCAACACTCTTGCACACTCTCACGTCGCTGTAAACATTCGTCTTTGAAAGCTTTGATCTCCTCGATGCAGGGCCAAGCAGCCGCGGCACACTGTGTGCCCCTTGTTCAAAGCCGCGCAGCCAAAGTGAAGGGTGACGGCACGGTTAGCATGACAAAGGTGCGCACCCCAAGAGTGCCCTCATTCACGATGGAGTTCATGGCATCCCCGACGCGCTGCGCGGCGGAGCCGGTCACCGGAATGTCAACGGTTAGGTCCGTGGCCTGCGACTGGCCTGCATCCGCTAACAGCCTGCGATTCGCGTCCTGAAGCACAGCAGGGAACGCCCCTCAACCCAGACACATCCACCAATGCCGCGCTAGACGGGCTCTCGGCGTCTCAGCAGCAGGAGCAATAAGCGCAATTCTGCCCAGGCTGCAGGAGGCTCAGCTCAAGGATCCCGGGCACCAGGAGTCTGTCCTTTGCCTGCTTGCAGTATGGCGCCAACTTGGCAGCTGTCGGGAGGACATTCAAACGCCGGCGCACCTGGGCAGCCATCAGGCGGCGTGCGGCGGGGCCGCGGGGCACGACGGAGACGATCTTGGGGGAGTGCACCATGCTCTGCAGCGGGTCGGGGTAGTCGTCCCGGTGGAACTGCAGCTGCAGCAGCAGCGCAACTTCCAGGCCGTTGCTGTTTGCGGGGGTCCAGGGCCCCCGGCTCACCACCTGCAGCACCGCCTCCAGCGTGACGTTCCCCACGTAGCTCTTCACCGCGTCCGCGCCCGGCACCGCTGCCGCCGTGGCCGTCGCAGCCACCGCCACCGGCGCCACCAGGCTGCTGTAATCTGCGCGCCAGCACAGGGGA